ACCTATAGCTCAGCGCAAGCGAAAGATGGGGACCGATAGGAAACTAGCAGTCGAAGCCGAAGTAGCCAAGTTGATTGAGGCAAGATTCACTCGGGAAGTACAGTATACGACATGGCTGACAAATGTGGTCATGGTAAGGAAGCCGAACGGTAAATGGAGAATGTGTACCGACTACACTAATCTCAACAAAGCATGCCCCAAGGATGCTTATCCATTACCAAATATTGACCGGTTAGTTGACGGAGCATCAGGGCATAAATTCCTCACTTTTCTTGACGCGTATTCCAGATACAATCAAATACGCATGCACCCCGGCGATGAGGAAAAAACAGCTTTTATCACCGATTCGGCCAATTTTTGCTATCAGGTGATGCCTTTCGGATTGAAGAACGCTGGAGCCACATATCAAAGGTTGATGAATAAGGTGTTTCAGAACCAGATTGGGAAAAATATGAAAGTATATGTAGATGACATGGTCGTCAAATCCGAAGACCTTGATCGGCACCTATCTGACCTTGCAGAAGTATTTCAACAACTTCGTAGACATGACATGCGATTGAATTCAGAAAAGTGTGTATTCGGCGTTTCCGGGGGTAAGTTTCTCGGCTTCATGCTATCGGCTAGAGGCATTGAGGCCAATCCTGACAAATGGCAAGCAATCGTCGGTATGAGAAGCCCCCAAAACCTTAAAGAGGTGCAACGGTTAGCCGGACGGCTCACGTCCTTGTCAAGATTCCTGCCATGCCTAGCTGAAACGGCAAAGCCTATCATTAGGCTGCTAAAAAAAGTGAAGAAGTTCGAATGGTCGACTGATTGTGAAGAAGCGTTTCAGACGTTAAAGCAACGCCTCAGCTCTCCTCCAATCCTCTCAAAACCCGATCCCCGGGCAAACATAGTTATATATTTGTGTGTGTCGGACGAAGCAATCAGTGTTGTGTTAGTGCAAGAAAAGGAAGTACAGCAGCCTGTGTACTTCATCAGTAGGATGCTCCAAGATGCCGAAACAAGGTATCAACTTCTTGAAAAAGTAGCGCTCGGGCTAGTACACACGGCCTGGCGCCTTCAACAATATTTTCAAAGCAACCGCGTAATAGTTCGTACCGATTGCCCTATCGCCAAGGTTTTGCGCAAACCTGAACTAGCCGGACGCATGATGGCATGGACAATCGAACTTTCAGAGCTTGACTTGTCATTTGAACCACAGAGACCGATTAAAGCACAATACCTAGCAGATTTTGTCAATGAGTTGCAGCCACAAGGCCATTTCGTCAGTGACTTATGGACGATGCATGTTGATGGTTCTTCGAACAACCAAGGCAGTGGAGCAGGAATAATCCTGCAAGCACCAACTGGGCTAATACTCGAGCAATCTTTACGATTTGCATTCAAAACCTCAAATAACCAGGCCGAGTACGAGGCATTGCTGGCCGGTTTGAGACTTGCGCAAGAAATCGGAGCTCGGCGAGTGGTATGCTGGACTGACTCGAAAGTTGTATCGGAACAAGTCAACGACAATTTTCAGGTAAAAGACCCCAACCTGCTGAAATATTATCACTTGTTTCGGAGGATGCATGACACCTTCGATGAGGTACAAGTAAAACATATGCCGAGGGAACACAACGAAAGAGCCGATCAACTAGCTCAGTTGGCTAGCAGCAGCCGAAAACTGGGACAACTAAGAACTACACTCCACCTTGACCTCGCCACTCCAAGCATAACACCGATTGAATGTTTGACGACCGAAAAGCCTACCCAAACTTGGATCACCGAAATAATGGATTACCTTGAATTTGGAAAAGAGCCATCTGATCCTTCGGCCGCCAAAAAACTCTGAACACAAGCAGCCAGGTATTCGGTCATTGGTGGACAACTATACCGCAGGGGTTTCTCGGTACCTCTCTTGAAATGCATTGATTCTGCACAAGAGGACTATGTTCTAAGAGAAGTTCATCAGGGTATATGCGGATCTCACTCGGGAGGGAGGACGTTAGCTATGAAGGTGCTTAGAGCAGGCTTTTATTGGCCAACTCTCAAAAGCGATTGCATGCAATTCGTCAAGCATTGTCTTTCATGCCAAAGACATGGAAACCTTATTCATGCCTCGGCCGAAGAACTACATAGCATTAGCTCGTCGTGGCCGTTCGCAATGTGGGGAATGGATATCCTAGGACCATTCCCGATAGCTAAAGGTCAATGCAAGTTTTTATTGGTCGCAGTTGATTATTTCACAAAATGGGTCGAGGCCGAACCGCTGGCCAACATCACAGCAGCCAATGTTCAGAAGTTCTTGTGGAAAAACATTATCACTCGCTTTGGAATTCCTTATGCCCTTGTAACTGACAACGGTCTAATGCTATTAGCGAAGGGACCCGGCTTCAAAGCGGTGGTAAGGTGGTGCAATGCGACAACAGGGTTAAGGTCTCGGATCTCCAAGGCTGCCTTGTTGAATCGGGTCATAAATGCCCGTAGGGACTCCTTACGCTCTTGACGAATACTTACTAGAGCCAACGAGGTCAGCTGGTGAGGACGGCTGGTAGCGAACTGAACCGTGAACTGAGATGCCAATGTGATGAATGAATCGATGGAGTTGGCCGGAAGTCGGGTAAACCAACTCAGCGCGCGTCCCTTGAAAGACGTCGGGAAGATACAGCATAACGCGGCGTCATCCGTGGAGCTCAAGGTTACCTGTGTCAAAAACACGTCCACGTGTTCGTCTGGGTCTGTGGTGCCGTCGTACTTGTCGAGGGGTAGAGACTTCCAATTGTCAAGAAGTGTCGACTGCATGATACTTGCCGTGAACGGGTGTTGGTGTGCTCCGGCCGATATTGGCTGTGTCGGTCGTCCGATCGATGCATGGATGTCTGGGACCGCGGCAGAAGTATATGGGGCGGAGGTGTGATGACCGTGCGAGTGGAATGATCCCTGAGAGTGGGTCGTCTCAGAGGGTTTCCAGGTGGGGTCCCGGTGTTGACTCTTTAAGGTAGCGTTTTCCGCTCTCAAGGCAGCCATCTCGGCAGCGTCTCTCTCTCGTTGCTGCTTCATGGCGGCCATTTCTTCCTTCAACTATTGCATCATCTCGGTCAAATTTGTCTCTTCTATTGTCTCGACATCGTTAGCCCCCGATTGATGTTTTTGGGACTGATGACCTTCCATGTTGGTCTTCCTTGTCTTTACCATCCTATCAACTCTCGGTCTCTTAATGTTATGTCTCTCGGTTCGGCCCCACGGTGGGTGCCAAAATGTACCTGTCTGAGGGCACACTCGTACTCTTTAGTGGGAAAGGGCCGAACCAGGGTCTTCCAGTGGACTTCTTTGTGTAGGAGGGGAGGTACCTGCAAAAGGCACTCCGACGCTCAAGTCAGGACAAGCACGATATTCTAGGATAATTAATGAACAGTGACATACCTCGTTATGTGTGACCTATTTATAGCATCTGACGTGGGCCTGAACGTGATGGGCCTTCTCAGATGTTTATCAAATTAGGTAATACGGTACTAATCGGTTGTTAGGCTTTAATCATGTACTTACCTTTCCTAATTGTGATTAATATTATAATCCGTTTAACCTCTCGGCAAGCGGCCGAGCCGACTAGTCAGTACTTGGCGGGACGGCAAACGGCCGAGCCGACTGGTCAGTACTTGGCAGCTTATATCCTTTCGGTTGTTGATCAGGCCGACATATGCCTTTTTTTGGGTCTTATACACTCGGCATTTGGTCGAGCTGATTCGATGGGTGACGGTGGTCTGTGTCGGCATTAAACCGAACCGATAGTTGTTAATGGACTGTTGTCGGCTTTCGGCCTTATGCCGAGCCGACGCTGACGTTAATGTTTGTGCGCGGTTCATTATGCATGGGTGTCTGACGAAATGGCATGTGTTGGCTCACGTGACCGATATGCACGTGCTGGCTCACGTGACCGATACGGTCTCTCCGGTACAAATATAATTTTTATTTACAAGTATTATTTTAACATAAATAAAATCACACTTACATGTATTCGGACAAAACTTACAACCTCGGAACCAAGAAAGGCTTGTTTTCACATGACTCTGGGTACCTTTCAATTTTTTCCTGCTTTCCACAACTTATTAAACAAAACATAAAAGGTGTTTAAACTAAATTCAAAGATACCACCCAGTTTGGTTTGTTAACATCAACTTTTTTTCCAAAGAAAGTAAACCTCTGCATTGCGGGATGGCAAGTGTGCTTCTTGTACAAGGTGATTTCATGATGATGATGATGTTGCTAATGCTTATTCTCATCAAAAATGGGAGCGGTGAGGACGAGTGCAGGGAATTGTCTTGTGGACCTAACGAACCGCTTATTAGATTTCCCTTCAAACTCGTGAAGGGGACGCACGATGAATGTGGCGATCAACATCTTTGTCTATATTGCAATCAAAAAAATGAGACCATGCTTGTGCTACCCTCAACAAAACTCCTTGTCAGTTATATAAACTACGAAGATCACGTAATTGGGATGACTGACCCCGAAAATTGCCTTCCTAAGAAGTTTCTGCAAATCAACAATTTTGTTATTCATCATAACCAACTGGAATTAACATATGATGGACTGCTAGGAGGAGGCAACTTATTGAGCTTCTTCAACTGTTCTTCCATTGGGTATCGACACCTCAGAAACTACATGCAGTCATATTCACAAGATATGATCTCTTGTCCGATTTTCGTTTCTAGTTCAAAAGACAGTATCCTCGAATTGGATCTAACATCATGTACCAAGATGTTCGACTTCATTGCGCCAATCGACGCATACTACCTGGAGATAAATTTTGTCAAATTAAGATGGTCCCAAAAAAATTGTATTGAGTGCGAAGCAAAAGGCAAGAGATGTAAATGGAAGAACAACACTGAAGGAGACATAGAATGTTTTGACTGCAAACGGAAAAGAATCCACGTTCCCAAATCATCTATTTTCGCTACTACAGGTGAGACAAGAAGACTACTTCATATGGTTCTTTTTTCTTTTCTTTTTTTTCTACCTTTTAAATTAAGTCTCCTAGTGTGATTGTAGGTTCGATTCTTTTGGGGCTGGTGGCCATTGCCCTCTTTAAGATCTTCCTCTATTTTAGAAAGAAAGAAGAAGACCAAGCAAGAGTGGACAAGTTCTTAGAGGATTACAGGGCAGAGAACCCTACAAGATTTACCTACGCTGATCTGAAAAGAATCACCGGTGGTTTTAAGGAAAAGTTAGGAGAAGGAGCTCATGGGGCTGTATTCAAAGGAAAACTTTCAAATGAGATTCTGGTGGCTGTGAAGGTCCTCGATAATACTGAGAAAGAAGGGAATGAGTTCATCAATGAAGTGGCAATTATGGGAAAAATCCACCACATCAACGTGGTTCGTTTGCTTGGCTTCTGTGCAGAAGGGACCTATCATGCTCTTGTCTACAATTTTTTTCCAAATGGTTCCCTTCAAAGCTTCATTTTTCCACCAGATGACGAGGAACATTTCCTTGGCTGGGAGAAGCTGCAACACATTGCTCATGGTATTGCTAAAGGGATTGAGTATCTTCATCAAGGTTGTAACCATCCCATTATTCACTTTGACATCAATCCGCACAATGTGTTACTTGATGACAACTTTAATCCAAAAATTTCTGATTTTGGCTTAGCCAAATTGTGTTCCAAGAATCCTAGTTTGGTGTCCATGACAGCTGCTAGGGGAACTTTGGGGTACATTGCACCTGAAGTTTTCTCTAGGAACTTTGGGAATGTGTCTTATAAGTCTGATATTTATAGTTATGGAATGTTGTTGTTAGAAATGGTTGGAGGAAGGAAAAATGTAGACATGTCTTCAGCACATGTTTTGTATCCTGATTGGATCCATAACCTAGTTGATGGGGATGTACATATCCATGTTGAGGATGAAGGTGATGTTAAAATTGCAAAGCAACTAGCAATTGTTGGACTTTGGTGCATTCAGTGGCAGCCAGTGAACCGTCCATCCATAAAAGCTGTCCTACAAATGCTAGAAACAAGAGAGGAAGAGTCCTTAATTGTGCCTCCTAATCCATTTCAGTCACCGACTTCCACTACTACTAGTGGACTCACTTCAACAAGACGTCCTTTGGAGTTAGAAGTGATTCAAGAATGAAGGACTAAAAACGTATAGATATGTGTTTTAGTGGCTCATTTAGATTGGGTGAAAAATAATGTTTTTAATTTGTAGAATAATAGTAGATGTATGAGTTTGTTATTTATATTTAGTGTTATTTAGGTTTTTTAGTATTAGGTAACTTTTGGATTTGAAAGTAATATATAAATTAAATAAATTATTTTTTCCAAGAATCATTCATTTTACATTTTTAATTCTATCATTTCGTAAGTTATACCTCATCCGAACCATAATATTTTTTTTTTAATGTTTTAGACTCCTTATTTTATTCTAATTAATTTTTCTTTTATGTTTTATGCATCTTAAGTGATATTAATTACCTTTTTCTACATATACTCTTTTTTGACGATAAATATTTATTTCATAACTATAATTTACATATTCTAAGATATTAAATGAGAGACTTAATGTATTAGCATTCAAATGTTTCTTTATGGGTGTGCAAAAACCTTAAACATAAAAAAATTATGGTCCAAAGGAAGTATTTTGTTACAAATTGTCACTAATGTGAAAAAGGAATTCTATGCACTACTACAAAATTACTATTTTACATCATTACATCTACATCGGTTTCTCTATAAACGATGTAAATAAGAAAAAGCGGTGGTAATCTTGTAATTAAATTAAAGAAGTAAACCATTCTACATCGGGTCTATTTCTGACCGATGTAAAATTCGATTGATAATATTATTCTACATCAGGTTTTTCATTTAACTGGTGTAAAACTCAAGCCAAATTTTCGTGGCCCATTCACCCTCTGGATATCCATTCCCCACATTGCGAACGGCCACGACGAGCTAATGCTATGTAGTTCTTCGGCCGAGGCATGAATAAGGTTTCCATGTCTTTGGCATGAAAGACAATGC